CTCAAAAAAGATATACTGGCATTAGAAAAGGTTTAGGGAAGGGCAACTAAAATGATTAGTATTAGAGGGGTAGCCGTGTTAGTCTGGATCTGTAAAAAGCAACAGAGAGTCCTGTGGCACCTTTAAGACTAACAGAAGTATTGGAGCATAAGCTTTCGTGAGTGAATACCCACTTCGTCAGACGCATGTGGGTATTCACTCATGAAAGCTTATGCTCCAATACTTCTGTTAGTCTTAAAGGTGCCACAGGACTCTCTGTTGCTTTTTACAGATCCAGACTAACACGGCTACCCCTCTAATACTAATCATTTTAGTTGCCCTTCCCTAAACCTTTTCTAATGCCAGTATATCTTTTTTGAGATGAGGAGACCATATCTGTATGCAGTATTCAAGATGTGGGCATACCATGGGTTTATATAAGGGCAATAAGATATGCTCCATCTTATTCTCTATCCCTTTTTAATGATTCCTAACATCCTGTTTGCTTTTTTGACTGCCACTGCACACTGTGTGGACGTCTTCAGAGAACTATCCACGATGACTCCAAGATCTCTTTCCTGATTAGTTGTAGCTAAATTAGCCCCCATCATATTGTATGTATAGTTGGGGTTATTTTTTTCCCAAAGTGCATAAGTTAACATTTATCCATTTCATTTGACATTTTGTTGCCCAATCCCTTAGTTTTGTGAGATCTCTTTGAAGTTCCCTTATAATGGGAAGTGAAGGGCAGTCTTAATTATTGCTGCTGTTACTGGTGCCACCTATAATATTCTGTGCCAGGAACCATGCCTCTTCATTGGTTGTTTGAGATTGGACTACTTGAGATATTAATGTAGAGAAAGTACCATCTGTTGGCCAGAGCAAAAGACAGATTCCTGGGTTCTGTTCCTGGCTCTATCACTGACTTGCAATGTTACTATTTACAATTACTAACTGCTTGGGTTTATATATTAGACATATTATAGCCTAATTGTCTAATAGACATATTATAGCCTAATTGTCCATTATGAAGTATTTTACTCCTACCTCTGAAGCAACTGATATGAAAACTGTTACAGACAGCTTACCTTGCTAAATGGACCACTGGCCTGATCTAGTCTGATCATTTCTATGTTCCTATTACCTTGTGAAGTCACTTAACTGCTATGTGACTCAGTTTCCCCAACTGTATAATAATTATTATTAAATAATTATGCTGACCTGCCTCCAGCAGTGTTGAGGCTTAGTACATTATTATTTGTAAATAGCTTAATGTTTGTTGGATAAAAGGTGCTACAAATGTACAAACTACTTGCACCAGAAAAAGGGATGAGTCATACAATATGATTAATGGGATGTCAGGTCAGACTAAGCCTGATACTGTAATGAGAGTAGATGGTACTACCTGCAGCTCATAATTCAGACTACCCTTCACTTCCCATTATAAGGCCAGGTGTCTGCCTCAGGCTGCATTTTTGGGCGAGAGTTTCAGCTAAAATGATTCTGCCATTTCTGAGAACAGGGTTAGGGGGGAAATGGTTTTGCCCATCTTAAAAACTATTCTGGTGACTTTTTCTTTGAGAAGGTCTAGCATCCCTATGGGTTGGAACAGAGACTTGAATTTTGGCAAGATGGTGGCCTTTTGGCAAGGTGCTGTCCCTATGAAAATCTGCCCATATATGGCCAAGTTCTAACCCTTTGAAAAATTGAAGTTCTGACATACTCAGGAGAGACTTCTTAGAAATGATGGGGAGACTGGGAGTAGTTGGTCAAGGAGACTGGGACCTGGAGGGAACAGTGGTGGGAGTAGGGTAGGCAAATCCGATAGGGAGCTGACGTGCAGGGGGAGAATTGGAACTGGCTGGACAAAGAAGCTTGAACAAGGAGCCCCAGGGAGCGGGAGACTGAGATTGGATGAAGAGCCCAGGGAGGGAGATTGGCACTGGGAGCCAGTGGGTTCTGTAGTGAATGAGGCTGTTGTCTGTAAGGCCCCTACCTAATTTTTGGAGAAATTGAAAGCTGTCTAATGAATGAGGCAGGAAACTGCAGGAAGAAATAGGATGATCTTATGGTAAAGGCCATTTGAGGGTGAACTGGAGAACTGGATTCTATTCTTGCCCCAACCACAGAGTTCCCATGTGATGCTGAGCAAGTCACCTACACTCAACTTTTCACAGATGGTCACTGATTGTGTGTTCCTCATTTCTGAGTGCCCAACTTGATACACTGTTGTCTAACTTGCAGAAGTGCTGAGCACTCGGTTGTAGCTGAAGTCAGCGGGAGCTGTGCTATATAATGCTAAATACTCTGAAAAATCAGGTCTCAGGTGTCTGAAATTGGGCATCCAAAGTTAGTGGATACTTGTGACTTTAATTTCTCTGTGCCTCAGTTCCCTATTGATAAAATTGGAATAAATGGCCAAGCTTGTGAAGGCTTTACACACAACTTGATGGCATTTTTGTGTTTGTCTGAAATGTGATAATTTGTGAATGCCACTTCCAATTCCAAAGTTGCAGGGAGTGTTCCAAGCATCAGTGGACAGAAACCTATTGATTTTGAGGAAAGTTAGAAAATGGAAAGAGGGAAAATGGGGGACACCTGGAGCCCCTGCTATCTGGTTAGCACAACCACAGCTTCAAGCAGCTCTGCAGTTGTCTGGAGATCAAACAACTGGTTGATCGCTCCCATTAAAGTCTTCCAGTGTATCTGGGGCAAGGTTGGGGGACGACCCTGGTATGGGTGGAGAGGACAATGGGGAGCACTCAGAACCCATGTTAGGGTGGAGATTGCAGGGAGAGGCAGGGAGTCCCTGACATAGAGGGAGATAGAAGGGTGGCACACAGGGAGCTTGTGGGGTGGAATAGAGGAATGCAAGAGACTCAGCATGTATAATAAACTCCACCCACAAAAGCTACAAAGTGTGCAAGTGCAATCCTCTAATAATAGCCCCTCATCTCACAGGAGTGTTGTGAAAATAAAGTAATGTTTGTGAAGCAGTCAGATGCTATAGCGATGAGCACTGTAGAAAAGCCCACAAGGAAATTGATAATTCTTTCTTCAGAGCAGGATTTGAGTAGCATGCAGTACAGAAAGGATGGAGTCACTTAACAATGAGGATAAAACAAAATATTGAATAGCTGCTCAGTTGGTGAGCACCATCTATCCTGATCCTCTGGAAAAAATAGTATGTTATCATGTAATTACAGACTGCATCATAATGCATATGCACAATGGGCAGAATTAGGATTGCATGGGCAGCCTTAATGCGGGCATTTCCTAAATTTTAGTGTTTGATTTTGTAACCTTAATGTTCTTTTTACATGATTTTGTGTGTGTAATATTCATATTAAAGAAAAAATAATAATTTATGGGTGCTAATGTTCTCAGCCTACAGATCGTGGGAGATAAAATAAATGTAGAGCATCTTTTATAGGGCACATAGCTACTCTCACAAAATCTGTCTGGGACTGGGGGCTCTTGCCTACTTCTAGCCCTCTGTAGATGTGACTCCCTATTGCTCAAAACTTCTGTGGGCCTTAAAACAATATATTTATCTATGTTGTATTATTGTTACATGATTTTTTTAAAGGCAAAAGAAATGTCTTGTGTGAAGAAGTTTCTGGCCTTGACAGTTCAGATGACATTCATGATGTAATGGTAGGATAACATATGAACTTATTGTTTTTCTTGAAGTATATTTTTAAAAATATGTGTAGGTTAAGTTTTGATTTTTTTGTCTCATTTAATTCACTTCCTTTTACTGTCCAGCCACAGTGGGCCAAATTCTGCCTGGATTCAATGGAGTTACACAAGGCAAAAATTTGCTTGCTGGATAGCGGAAGGAAATGCCAGCTAAAGTGCATTTACAGTAGGAAGAATTTGGCCCAGTATCAGCATGGGATGTATTTTGTGGTCCAGCAAATTGGTATGCAGTGCCCATCAAATGTATATGCAACCCCTACTGAAGTAATTTATACTGTGTTATACTGTACATCAAATTAACTATGCACTGGCCAGTCTATTACAAATGCTCCCCAACTTACGCAAGCGTTCCGTTCCGGAATGCCTTGCGTAACTCGAAGTTTGCGTAATTCGGAAACATATACCCGACAATTACGACAAAAAAAAAAAAACCCCCGAAAACCCTCCTATTTCTAGCTTACAGAACTTTTTCCGTAAGTGCAGTTTTGCGTAAGTCAGGTTTGTGTAATCCAGAGGGTATCTGTAATTGATAACAAAATCTGTGGTCTTGCCATTCAAGGAAGTTGCTTGTCTGATTTATTAGTTAATCATTTAACTTGTATTTACACACCACGCATGCCAACAATTTATTGCATGTACTTAATCCTATAGCATACCAAGTGAAGCCACTGGCAGTCTACGTGGCCATTACTACCTACTCATACCAAAGCTTTACCAAGTCATTTTGGCCATCTGTTATGTTGCACTTTCACTGATCATATAGTTCTGGAAGACAAGGATGACTGTCTCTACAGCAGCTCACACATGTCTCTATGTGAATGGATGCTCAAGATATTAGTGACACAACCCCATGAACAAATGAGCAGACTAGAAAATCACCCCATGAGCCAGTCACCCAATTAAAAAAATGGGGCTTGAGCAGATGACACAAGGGCCTCCAAAGCAACTGTAATTTTTACTATTTTCCTTGGGACTGGGAGTTTCTCAAAAATATATACATATGTCCTGGAGCCTTACAATTCCATTTGTCCTGCAGGCAGAACATGTGTGCAGCGTATGTGCATATGCACATCAACAAGCCCTCATTTGTTATTCAGAGGAAGTCACTTTGGAAATGCTCTAAGGAGCAGATAGAATTAAAAGGCTCTGTGACTATACATATTCTCCCAACTAAGTTATCACAGCTATGCCAGTGCACAGCTTCCTGGGCCCACAAAATGGAATAATGGGTATAACTTTGATATACTGCAGAAAATTAGCAGTTGATATTGGATATGTTAATAAAAGTTTCCTGGGTTTTAAATGTGTGGATCATAATGCAGGTACTTTTTTGTGCCAGTCTAGGTTGGTAAGAAATGAAGAGACATCCTTTTTTTGGACTATAAAAAAGGATGCAATTAATTACCATAACCTACATTGTGATCAGATGCTGAATCATTATGCGAAAACTGGCTCCTTTACAACTAAAGTAAGTAGATAGTTAAAATCACTTGGCCTTTGGTATTATTCCCACAGTGCACGTGGGGAACTTTATTGGTATTAGGTTTCATGAACAGATTATACAAGGTGAAGGGTTAGTGAGTGTTAGTGGTTTTTTAAAATTTATTTTCATATAAATGTGACCAACAGTAACCGATTATAAGAAGTCAAAGCTAAAGGCTTTCCATATATGGGACCAAATTCATCCCAGGTTATTCAGCAGGATGAATTTGGTTTTCTATTGATATGTAACCACAGCGGCATGGCGGATTTTTGGAAATTCTAAAGGAACAATATCCACGTTCTCAGCTCTAAATGTGTGAGGCCCCAACCCTGCAATCAGATCCACATGTGCAGACCTTTGAACCCATGTGAAGCCCTGTTGATATCATTGGTGTTCTATGTGGCATACAAGACTCTGTCTGTGTAGATTCTGTTGCAGAGCCCGAGTGACCTGTATGGTTTGTTTGTTTGCTAAGTACATTGTATGATAGTGAGCGTTTCAATTGCGGATTGATTTCTGTAGGTGGTGGTGGGGAAGGGTTGAGGGAAAGCTAGTTATTAGCTACTATTTGTTTTTGTGATCTTATGTCAAAGGCACCTAGGGCTTTTAAGCTAGGCATGGTACCATTTGTTATAGTAATATTTTTAGCATCTAAATAGATTGTTGTGCTATAATTAATGTAATTCTCAAATCTGTTTAAATTAATGAATGAAACACCAATGAAAGGCTTTACTGTTCTTTTTCGAGTTCTTCCTCATGTCCATTCCATGCTAGGTGTGTGTGCGCCACATGCACAGTTGCTGGAGATTTTTCCCTTGGTGGTATCCATTGGGCCGATTCTAGCGCCCTCTGGTGTTACACACATATGCACTGGTATAATGGGTGCCTCTGGCCCTGTGCCCTCTCAGTTCCTTCTGTGACAGTTGCTGGAATGACCCTTCTTGCTGTAGCAAGGCTTCGTTCCCTATGGTTTGGACTTTCTCTGTTCATATTTTGTATAGTTATTGTAGTTAGTATATATAGTTCTTAGTTAGAGTCAGTGTGGTGTTAGTAGCTGTCTCTGTTGTTGAGGGACTTTTTGCCCCAGGGCCTAGGCATGCCCCAGTCTCCGGGTTTCAAGCTGTGTGCCCTGTGAGGCAAGCCGATGCCAGCGAGAGACCTGCATTCTAGCCATCTAATGTGTCTGGGCAAGTCTGACATTAAAGGGAAGAGCCAGATCTGCAGGGCCTTCAGACCTCGTACGAGAAAGGATAGGGACATTCAGCTGAAGGCCATTCTTGTGGAGGAGGCCCTGAGACCAGCCTCAGAGTTCAGCCCCTCTAAATCGGTGCCAAGCACCTTGAAATCCGTGCGGAGTACTCCCCTGGCACTGTGTTCTTCCCAGCACCACTCTCCATTCTTGGTGCTGATGAAAAGGCATAAGAAACAGTGCACTGAGGGGGCATTCTCTGGTACAGAATAGGGACAAGCAGAGAGTGCCTAGCGCAGTGAGACCCATATCGGGCCACTCATCCTCACCTGAGCCTCTGATTGCACTGCTGACTCTGCCTAGAGAGCTGGGTCCGATACAGAAATCACCACTGACTCCCCGGAGCAGCCATCGGGTCAGGTGTCTGCTGGCCTCTTTGAACCCCGGAGGCTTTCCAGGGGACAAAAGACCTGCTGTCCCTCCTGATCCCACTGATCCCTCAAGTCCCCTCATCAGCCAACGTGACTGGGAACAGAAGGGAACAAGGTGCACTGAGCTCCACCATGGCACCGAGCACTGCAGTGCCGTCCAGGGGCAAGCCCTCCATGGTCCCGGTGCAGCGGTCCCCAGCCCGCCACTGGTCCCCAGTTCCCCGGTATCGCAGAAGCAGATACTGCACCGCAATGGTCTTCAGGGGAAGAATTCTCTTCGGAGTCAAAAGGGGAATCCTTTGCTCCATCGAAAACCTAATGGTACCAGCCTACACACCAGACTACGGCACCGGCCCTTCTGCCAGCGCCAGGGCGATGTGTGGCAGTACTGGTGTCCTTGGGGGTTTCCCCCATCACCTGCCCCCCCCCCCTTACCATTGCTCATACTCAGTGGTGTCAGAAAGGCGAGCTACTGTCTCTTCCCATCCAGCACCGGACCCTGACTCTGGTACTCACCCCAGTGCCCGTATCCAGGAAATGGCCCAAAGGACCTGGTGGAAGTAGAGGAGGAGGAGGGAGACCCATCTCTGGCTCAGGCCTTCTCCTTGTCATCCCCGGACAAGGCAGTCATAGTAACCCGCTCCCTCAGGATGACTCCAGGGCCCACCAAGAGCTTCTGAAAAGGGTAGCTGCGAACTTGGGCTTGGAAGTTGAGGAGTTTAAGGAGTCAGCACACAGCCTAATTAACATCTTGGCTGCAGCTACTCCCTTCAGAGTGGCCTTGCCTGTTAACGAAGTGGTGATGGGCCTCGGCAGAACACTGTAGCAGACTCCTTCTTCTCTGCCCCCGCACATCAAAAAGGGCAGAGAAGAAATACTATGTCCCAGCCAGTGGGTTTGAGTACTTTTATTCACACCCCTATTGTGGGGGGTCTCTGGGAATGTCAGTGATGAATGAGCGGGACAGAGATGGACAATTGAATGCTACCCCCAAAAATAAAGAGGTCAAGAGACAGGACTTGTTTGGACATAAGGTTTATTTAATGGGCAATCTCCAGTTACACATCTCCAACTAGCAGGTACTGCTGGGGAGGTACGATTTTAATCTGTGGGACTCATTGTCCAAATTTAAGAATTCCCTACTGCAATAGTCAAGGCAGGAGTTCATGGCCATCTTAGAGGAGGGCAAGACTGTGGCCAGGACCTCCCTTCAGGCAGCTCTGGATGCAGCTGACTCAGCAGCCAGGACTATGGCATTGGCAGTCATCATGAGGCGCTGTTTGTGGCTCCATTCCTCTGGCCTCCATCATGAAATTCAGCAATCCATCCAGGACCCCCTGCCTTTGAGGGCACCTCCCTGGACTCGGAACAGAAAGACTTGAAGCTTCAAGGACTCAAGGGCCACTCTTCGCTCCTTGGGCCTTTACATAGTTCCAGCTTCCAGGAAGCACTTTAGGCCTCAGCAGCCCCCCCAGGTTCGTGGCGCCTTCCATGCAGAAGCCCTACAAAAGAAAAGAGAAGGGTTTTAAGCAAAGCCAACCCTTCCCTCCTACCTCAGCCTCCCAGTTGGGCTCTCACAGATATCTTGGAACGGCCAGGCAGGCTTTTGAAGGTATGTCCAAGGGCAATATACCAGTCTCGACACCAGATCCATCCCCCCCCTTTGTATTTGGACCACCTGTCACCCTTCAGCCCAGGATGGTTAAATATAACATCGGACCATTGGGTACTGAGTACAGTAACAATTGCTTACACCATCCAATTTTCATCCACCTCTCCCTCCAACCCTCCACCCTCGTCTCTCGTCAGGGACCTTACTCACAAGCAGCTTCTTGTCCAGGAGGTGCAAGCCCTCCTACATGTGGGGCCATAGGGAAGTTCCTCGAGACTTGAGAGGGAAGGGGTTTTACTCACAATAATGCTTAATTCTGAAGGCCAAGGGCAGTCTACAACTCATCCTGGACCTGCATCGTCTCTACAAATATCTCAAGGAACAGAGGTTCCACCTGCCCTCCCTGGCCTCCATCATTCCCTCCCGGGATCCAGGAGACTGGTATGCCTCCCTCAACTTAAAGAACGCTTATTTCCACATCTCTGTCTTCCATGGGAACAGAAGATTTCTCAGGTTTATAGTGGGTCTACTACCAATTCACCGCTCTTCCCTTCGCCCTGTTGGCAGCCTCACAGGTCTTCACGAACTCCACGGTGGTGGTAGCAGCCTTCCTCAGGCATCAAAGCATACAAGTCTATCCATACCTCGACGACTGGCTGATCAAGGGTCAGTTGCAGGCTTAGGTGCAGCACAGCATCAGTACAGTCTGGGCCACCTTCCAGGTCCTGGGTCTGTTGATAAACAAGCAGAAGTCAACCCTTGTTCTGGTTCAGAGAATACTATTTATCGGGGCAGTGCTTGACTTGACCCAGGCCAAAGCCTCCCTACCAGAAGCCCGATTCCAAGCTATGTCAGACCTGATTTTGAAAGTCACGATCCACCCAATAATGATTGTTCGGATCTGCCTCAAACTATTGTGACACATGGTGGCATGTACCTACGTGGTGCAGTACACAAGGCTGTGCCTCAAGCCCCTCCAGATGTGGCTGCCGTCAGTCTGTTCCCTGAGCAGACACCACCTGGACTCAATACTCAGGATTCTGCCTCTGGTCCTCACTTTGCTGACCTGGTGGAGAGACCCAGAATCCATAATTGAAGGGATACCCCTTGCTGACCCTCAGCCATTGATAACCCTAGTCTCGGACACATCAGGCCTGGGGTGGGGAGCCCACCACAGCAATCTCAGGACCCAGGACCTCTGGTCCCAGGAAGAACTCTCCCTGCATATAAATGTCAGGGAACTCAGGGCAGTATGCTTGGCTTGCCAGGTGTTCCTTCCCCAGATCTTAAGCAAAGTGGTGCAGGTCCTGATGGACAATAATGCATCAATGTTTTACATCAGAGGTGGGCAAACTATGGCCTGCGGGCCACATCCAGCCCGTGGGACCGTTCTCCGTGGCCTCTGAGCTCCTGGCCCGGGAGGCTAGCTGCTAGCCCCTTCCCTGCTGTTCCCCCTCCTCTGCAGCCTCAGCTCACTGCGCCACCGGCACAATACTCTGGGTGGTGGGGCGGCAAGCTCCTGGAGCAGTGCAGCTGCAGAGCCCGGCCTGACCCGGTGCGTGTGGCTCCAGCCGGGCGGCGTGGCTGCCTATCATGGTGCAGCCGTGCCGCCAGCCACCGGTGCTCCAGGCAGCGCGGTAAGGGGGCAGGGAGCAGGGGATGGGGGTTGGATAGAAGGCAGGGGAGTTCGGGGGTGGTCAGGGGCCAGGGGTGTGGATAGGGGTCGGGGCGGTCAGAGGGCAGGGAACAGGGGGGTTGAATAGGGGCAGGGGTCCTGGGGGTGGTCAGGGAGAAGGTGTGGTTGGATGGGGCAGAGGTCCCGGGGGGTGGGGAGGAGGCAGTCAGGAAGGAGAAGAGGGGTTGGATAGGACAACAGGAGGCAGTAAGGGGTGGAGGCTCCGGGGGTGTCAGGGAGCAGGGGGGGTGATGGGGCAGGGGTCCCGGGGACAGTCAAGAATGAGAGGAGGGGTTGGATGGGGTGGCTGGGGGCTGTCAGGGGTGGGGTTCCGGGGGCAGTCAGGGGACAAGGAGAAGGGATGGTTGGATGGGGCAGGGGTCCTGTGGGGGG